CCAACTTGAGTTCGTCATGTACAACATGTTCCCCTAGCGTCAATGTCCTTTAACGTTTCTTTCTTTCGTTTGCCATCTATATGTTCGTTGTCCATTTTTCCTTCGGAGGCAAGAACTCTGTTAACAACGGCATCAACTTCGGCATGAACACGATTTTCTCTCGTGAACCGACATTTGAATATGGTTCTTAAGCACCGTCGGAATCTCTCGTCCGGCAATTCATAAATGAATGGGTTCACAGTTGAATTCAAAAGAAGAAATATGTGAGTTACACGACGCCAGAAAAMTGTTGAACTATGTGGTTGCACGTAGTTGAAAGGTAAGCCACTATGAGACACGACTAAATAGTAAATCAGATTTGGCATCCAGCATACCACTAGAAAAACAGTCACCGTAATACCTGACTTTGTGATTCTTYTGCGCGATTTTAGAAGCGACCTTTGWGCAACGTTACTTTCGTTGTGRCTGGACCTCCATAGCGTGCAAATAACTCTTCCGTACAATGCCACCATTACCAGATTCGGAAACAGGCCAACAAGAGTAAACCAGAGTATAGAATCAACTTTTTCTACCCACAGAAATTCAAGTTCGCATTCTTTGCTACTTTCATTGTAAATTATGAATATTTTTATAAAAGYATTGACGATAATGGAAGCTACCCAACATATCCCAATCGCCATCTTGAGTTTCTTGTTCGAGAACCTCGGTGCATGGGGCTTCATGATAGCGTTGTACCTCTCCCACGCTATAACGGCAAGAGTAAAGACATTGGTAGCGGAGGCTAGCCATACAATATCATCAAAAGAGGCGAATTTACATAGCATGTCCCCCTCTAAACGACTACAGTGATMAAAATGTACTTTGAAAAAACGGCCCAGCGAAATACAAATTCCCACAAGAATGTCGCAGACAGCAAGGTGCACAAGCAGGTAGTTCATTGGTGTCCTCATGAATACAAAGCGCTTCACAACAAATATAACCAGACCATTTCCAACCAAATTGACAACGGCTATTACGGTGAATATTACAGCGAAGACAACTTCGCTTTCGTAGACGTGAAACACTAGCCAAGACATTCTGAGAAAACTCAAAATTGTTCAAAATTCACTCCATGTACTTGCGTACTAGTAGACACTGTAAGTTGRTAAGTTCGACAGGACTTTTCATTGAATATTAATCGAATATCTAAATAATACCTTTGATGAATATATTTTACCTGGCTTTATGAGCAGGTACATAAAGTATAATCAATCTGCCATATGCATATTGTAAAAAAACTATAGTTTTTTCATGCAATATTTATATCAACTTGCACGATTATTTGAAACTTCATCATCACTGGATGCGAACTGTYCTTGATAACACAAGTGCTCTGTGTGGATTGAAATAATTCAAAAAGAGGGGAACATGGTACCTAGACCRGACTAGTACACGAGAAATTATCTAGCTTAGTGCGCTTTCCATTTGTCAGAGCTGGCTGGCCAGACCCAGAGAAAATGTCATTATATATCATTCCCATTTAGTTAGGAAATTCAAATTTTCAAATTCTATCCATTATTCTACAGAAAATCTCGAAATGACTGAAAAATGTTGACAAAAAGCATTATATACCTCTAAATAGAGTGGACTGGCCGGCCAGTTCTGCCTAAATGGAAAGCACCCTTATAATCCCCAGAATTACAAAACTAAATACAAATGAAAATAAAATAACGTCAAAAATCAAAGCATTAAAGTAGGCTAGGATTTGCAAGAATGGCAGTGTTTTTATTATTATTATTATTATTTTCGTTTTGTTTTCCTTTTGTTTTGTTTTTTTTGCAGTGCGTAGTTCCAGGAACTCCCCCCAGGGGTGTTACAAGGTAATCACAAACGTGCCAACATATTTTGTCAATGATTGTAGCATCAAGTGCCACCAGTCTCATAATATCACTGGAAAAAACGCGTGCTTTAAAGGTTGTAGATTTGATGTAAATATGATGTAAGTGTCCAAAATTCTGTAAATTTGATGTAAATGATTTCCATTAAATTTACAGAATTTTGGACACTTACATCATATTTACATCAAATCTACAACCTTTAAAGGACGCGATTTTTTCCAGTGATACTGAGTACGCCAATAAAGGCAACAAGACCCCAAAGCTGCAATTCTAATCCCTAGTATCCCATATATGACATACACCATGTCACWCCCTGTTTTTATTGTTGCCAACAAAAGACAAACTTTAAGTTTCTCACTAACATTTATTTTCATATTTGTCTTGACAATATTCTTTAGTATAGACCTARGAAAGGAAAGGACTTGTAAACAGAATCCGTCTCAACGTCCTCGCTAACAGTCTCTCCGCCAGACCCGCTTACAGYCTCKGCGCCAGAASCGCTTCCAGAACCACCGCTGCTCTCAGGATTAGAAACACAYGATTCGTAGGCGGTCTTATTCAATGAMGGGAGGAAATCGTTCCAAAAAGCCATGTGATGAGGTCGCAGGTTGCTTTTTACTCTCAAATTGGGTTCAATTGACAAATATTTTCTCGAGTTTGGATCGTATTCAGGCCAGGAATTTCCACCTGGAGCATACGGGTTGGGATCTCTGYAAATAGAACAAAACAGACAAGAGTTCAGTGGCTTAATCAATGGTTGGTGATGGGTTGGAATAAGGGTAACAGTATGTATAAGAGGACGAGCTCTTTTATATTTATTGACGGGCTATTTTTCAAATCACACTCATACCCAGTTTTKGCAAAGTTTGACCACATTTTTATGACATTTTCGGATATTGCAACATCGACTGCTGAGGGCTGTGAGGCTGCCAAAGGAAATCCAAACACCATAAACTTCTCTGTTTCATGATAAGCCTTTAAGAACGATGGACGCGTAAAGTAGCCATCCATGTTTAAACCATAGTCCACATGATAGAAAAACACTTTTGCACCGTTTTCGACAAATGCATTCGCGTGGTAAATCGATGGAGCGATGAACGAGCTATCTTTCAAAAGGTCAAGAATYATGCGTCGGTTTTGAGGTGTTTTGTTGAGATTCGCCCATGGACTGTATTGCTGAATAACAGCCTTCTTGTAAAATGGGACGAAACTTTTAAACCTCTTGGRCAAGTCGTTTAAATAAGGGGATAGACCRTTGATTAAACCAAGAAGGTACTGTCTTGTTATGCTGTCACTTCTAATGTTGATTGAAGGATTCGATAGTTCTAAAACATTACAAGCAATGTCAGCAGACAGTGAGGAAAAGCCTGAGTATGAAGCGAAAAAATACAAAGAAAAAAATGCATGAAATGCAAAAAAAAAAAAAAGAAATGCTGATGACCAGCCGATGATGTTACAAACAATAAACAATGTAAGAAGAGCTAAATGACAAAAATCTCTCTCCCAATGGAACAGCCATTATTTTAGCTTTGACGCAAGGAAACTAAAGTAACAAAGAAAGGAATATTATTAATCAAATACCCGGTATGGCATTCGTTAGACACGATCCATCATCGCTGGCCACACCTATCATAGTACTATCAGGGTTTGTGAACATTCCTTTGTCCAGCAAGGTAATTGGAGAATCTGAAAAAAAAGTACAAGGGAGTTTCAAAATAGTTATAATTTTGAATATACTTCTGAACCTTTTACGWCACTATTTGATTTGCAATGCATTGTTTGATCACTTTCTAGAGAAAACAAAAGAAATACGCCATGTTTTCCTCCAAACATATCCTACAATGCATCGCGAGTAAACGGTGCATGACGTAAAAGGTTCAGAGGTCTATAAGACTTTCTGTCAAGTGGCACAGCATATAAGCCAGACCGCAAAGTCTTTCTTAAACAAGTATTGAGGCACCGATGATAAGAAATTCTGAAATGTGGACGAATCATAGCCTGAATATCAGACRTCTCCTCTGGGTGATGTCGTTTGGAATTAGAAGCGACATSRMCCMRRRGRAA